AGAGAGAGAGAGAGAGAGAGAGAGAGAGAGAGAGAGAGAGAGAGAGAGAGAGAGAGAGAGAGAGAGGCAGAGGCGGGCTCTGGAACTGCAAATCAGGAGTGGGGTTGTGTAAAGAGCAGGTAAGGTCATCATATTTGTGTGTTTGCTTCAAATGGGAGCTGATGTGTTTGCTTGGAACGGGAGATGATTCCCACAAGGGGTTCTTTTGAAACAATTGTATTTCCCAGATCCTTGTCTACTGTAATGACCTGCCAAAGCACAGACTCGAGTTCTGCTGAGTTTTCTAAGTCTGTGTGTGTGCGTGCTTGCTGGTTTGTGTGCTTGGAAGAAGAAGAAGAAGAAGAAGAAGAAGAAGAAGAAGAAGAAGAAGAAGAAGAAGAAGAAGAAAAGGAAGAAAAGGCGAAGAAGGAGAAGAAAGGAAGAAGAGAAGGAGAGAAGAATTTCTTCTTTTTCTTCCTTCTTCTTCTTCTTCTTCCTTTTCCTCTTTCTTCTTCTTCTTCCTTTCTCTTCTTCTTCCTTCTTATTCTTCCTTTTTCTTCTTCCTTTTTGAAAAAAATGCACAAATAGAGTCCTGCAATCAATTAAATAATATAGAAACGAACCGTATGCCTAGATCTCAAAAAAATGATAATTTTATTGATAAAACATTTACGATCATTGCAGACATCCTCCTTTCTCCTTCCTCTTCTTTTTCTTCTTCCTTTCTTCTTCCTCCTTTCTTCTTCTTCTTCTCGTTCTTCCTTTTTCTTCTTCTTATTCTTCCTCTTCTTCTTCTTCCTCCTTTCTTCTTTTTCTTGTTCTTCCTTTTCTTCTTTTTCTTCTTATTCTTCCTCTTCTTCTTCTTCTTCTTCTTCCTTTCTTCTTCCTCCTTTCGTCTTCTTCTTCCTTTCTTCCTTTCTTCTTCTTCTTCTTCTTCTTCTTTTTCTTCCTTTTGTCTTCTGCCTTTCTTCTTCCTTTCTTCTTCTTCTTCTTCTTCTTCTTTCTTTTCCTTCTCCTTCTAAGAAGAAGAAAAAGAAGAAGGAAGAAGAAGAAAAAGGAAGAATGTCCGCAACGTTCCACTTGACTACGCCAAAGTGGGCAATTCATTCGGTGACTTACAGTCGCCCTCACTAAACCAACAAGAATATGGACTACGATTCACGTTGAGTCTGAATGAGATTGGATTGACTTTTTGTGCCATTATTTGTCTCTTTTTTTGTTTCGTTTTTGACCTCCATTCATGGTGACAAAACGAAATAAAAGCAAAACTAAACTAATAGCGAGTAGCATAAACAAAGCTGAACTAGTAAAAGAAAGATACAAGTTTCCTATATGAAAAGGAATCAATGGAATAATAGCAAATTGTTCTAGTGGACTAAAGAAGAAGAAGAAGAAAGGAAGTCCTCTTCTTTTTCTTCCTCCTTTCTTCTTCTTCTTCCTTTCTTCCTTTTTTCTTCTTTTTCTTTTTCTTCCTTTCTTCTGCTTCTTCTTTCTTCTTTCTTCTTCTTCTTCTTCTTCTTCTCTTTCTTTTTCTTCTTCTTCTTCTTCCGTTCTTCTTCTCCCTTTCTTCTTCTTCTTCTTCTTCCTTCTTTCTTCTTCTTCTTCTTCTTCTTCTTCCTTCTTCTTCCTTTCTTCTTCTTCTTCCTCTTCTTCTTCTTCTGATGGAAATCGGGTCAAGCGCCCCCATACAACTGAGTCCCCTGCTGGAAATCAGGTCCACCGCCCCAGAATCAGTTTTTTGTAGGAGTTTTTTTTTTGGGGGGGGGAACAGTTGTGCACAGATGTGCTTATTGTGGAGTGCTTGCTATAATATGGGCCTGCGGGCCCCAAGTGAAAGCCGGGGGTTGCTGTGTGTCGAACTGTGAGATTAGCTTGTAAATACTGATGATGCGGATTGCGTTTGCTGGTTTAGTATGTGTATGTGTTTGTGTGACAGTGTCCACGTGGACACCAAAAGTGACATGTGGACACCAAAAGTGAGTACCTGATCTGTTAGTTCTTACTGTTGGAGATATAGATTGGAAGTTGAGTGTGATGAATAAGAGAGGCAGTGCTTGTATGGATGTACGTCAATGCCTGAGTGCTTATAGCTTGGCAATGCACTGTGCTTCTGGTGTTCTGAATTGTTGGACTTCTTTTATTTCCAAGATCCGCAGAGAAACTCTGTGTCACATATCTCCGGACTTCTCCGCGGTCGAACAATCACGAAAAAAAAACAACAAAAAAGTACAAAAAAAAAAGCCTCAATTAGATCAATTTACATATTTCACCTAGGCTACCAGAGTGGCCCGGGGTCACTTGCCCGGCCGGGCCAAAAAGATAAAAAAAAATAAAATATTTAAAAAATTTATTTTATATTTTAAATTTGGTAAAGAATTTCGATGTGAGCCTGAGGCAAAAGTTGTTTACTTTATTTTTATACATAACATAGTAGTTTTTCAGATTTTTTGGATTTTTTTTTTTTTTGCTGGGACCTTACCTTGTCCTTGCACGGGCTGGTAACCCGGGGCCCGGGCGGCCCGGCTGGTAGCCTAGTATTTCACGCAATTCCTTTGGTTATGTGTATTTTATAAAGCTATTGTGGCTGCCTGCGTCCACTGTTCCCCTCGTCCTTCTGCTCATCCCTTCCTCCCTTCCTTGTTCTCTCGTTCCACATTCCCCCTGCCCCTCATCCTACGTATGGTGTTTCCAGAAATCCCCTTTCCCCCATTTCCCCCTTGCCCCACCTTCCCGGTCCCTTTTGTCCGTGATGCAGCCCTACCCTTGATACGCACCTATCTTTCTTAAACCCTGCCAAGACCCTGCCAAACCCTGCAAAAATCTGTGCGGCGTCCAGCTTCCTCTGTACCCTTTTCATTGGTGACCCTGTGGAGATCCATCCTGGCCGGCACATTAGGTGAGGGTACAGGGTCAGGATCAGTGGTAGGCAGGGAAGAGGGAGCAGGACCGCAAGGGGGGAGGGGGGGAGGGGGGGAGGGACTTGTTTCTGAAACCACTTATTCGGGCAGGCCTTTGTGTACTCTGCAGGGAGCAGTACGAAGTTCGTTGGGTGAATGTGACAGGCGAAGTTATCGTCAGGGTGGAGAAATTCCCAGCAGTTCTCCATCGTGAGCCAGGGTTGTCATGGCAGATTGAACTGCTGGTCCAGTCTGCATCACCTGTCGCTGGGATCCACCCATGTGTTTCTGAAATTCCCGATCAGCTGTGTTTTCTTAGGCTCTTCGGTCTCGTTTTGCAGCCTGGATTGCAAGTTCTTTTTTCCAGGCATCCCGCGTGTTTGCGGTTTTTGTGTCAGCGATGGCTGCCTTGGCCTGCTGGGGACCAAATGTATCCTGTCCCCCTGCTCATAAGAACCTCATTCGCCAGGCTACCATGAGCATGGTCAGCCGGATATATACTGGAACAGATTGAGCATGAACGGGGGGTCCAGTCGGTCCCTGGCGGGAGGGCACCCCGGAGGATGGACTTTACTCCCACGGGAAATGCTGGCCGGTAATATAGTGCCAAGCCAGGCTGGAGTCGCTCCACACTTCCAGATTCGTACCACCATCGGGCAGTCCAGGAGGCAGTGCTCCAACGTTGCTTGCCCTTTTCCTGAGGGTACTAATCAGTTTGCAATATGTGCGGAGAGGGGGGAGAGCAGCCCTTTTTGTTCCAGATCTGATCGTTGCGTCACCTACCGTCTTCACCCGAATAGAACGCCTGGTCATTATAGCTGTATTTGATGCAGCTTTCACTCCAGATATGGCCATAATTACCGGGCGGCGGGCGTTCTATTCAGGTGGAGAAGGTAGTCAGGTGTGCCGGCAAGGCACCTGTGTATGATCTGCCATTGCAGCACCCTGTCCTTTTTTTTTTTTTGCAGCACCCTGTAGTTAGTTGGTGTGATGTGTGTGTGAAAGGCGCCCACCTGCAGTGAATCCTTCAGGTCAGTCATCACAGGTGAGGGAGGGGTCTCTTTTTTCCTATCTTCTGAGTATATTATCCATAACCGGGGCCCGTGCACGCATCGTCCTGTAACCATTTTTTCACAGTGTATTGCCACGGGCGCACGGTGGAGAAAGTCACATTGCCATGCCCATTCATTCGGGTTGAAATGGGAGGTGGGAAAGGGGTGGGATCGTGGGTTCATACACGTGCTTCACGTCTTCGTTATCTTCCATCACCTGTAATCTAGTAATCAGGGAGGCGGCCGGGGTCACACAATCGAGGTTTTCCTTCCGATGGATCTCTGACCGCCTCGCTCCCAGAAGAGCAGGGCAGTAGGCCCTCAGTTGCATGGCTGATGGGGGTTGAGCTTGCTCCACCCAGAAGATTGTCATCGGGAGAGTCCATTTTCAGCAGCCAGTGGGTTTTTGGAACTTTTTCTCAATCGTGGGCCCTCCCTCGTCTCAGGGCACTGCTGATCCATGCAAGGGGTACCGATTCCAGGAGCTCGGACACGCCTTGTTCCAGGTTTGGGCTGGGGCTAATCTTGGCTTTGATTGTCTGTTTGTCTCCCATGATGTAGGGTGGATGCTCTTCCCCTCCCTGACTCTTCCCATGGGGACCAATATTTGCACATACTCAGGCTGTGGCCTAAACCACTGCTGTCGGCATGAAAAGGGGCTAGATTTCTGACTGAGATAGTGCCATGTCGTACGATGGGAGTTGTTGGAGGGGTCAGCATGAAAAGGGTCTGCTTATCCATTTAGGTTGTAGGGCTTTGAATTCGTCATCGGGGTCAAGTAGACTCAGGCCCTATTGCAGCTGGTCTAGTTATGTACTTCCGCGCACCTTTTGTACTGAAAGTTCATCCTAGTGGGACACCCCATAACAGCCCTCCATTGTAAAGGCGGCTAGTGCCACAAGGGTAAGGTCGTGCTTCTTCTTGTCTTTTTCTCCCCTTTCTCAGTGAGAACATGCTTGCTGGTAATGGGCAACCGGACTGACGCCCCCCAGACTAGAAGGGGCATTGTGTGGGAAAAAAAAAAAAAAAAAAGTTCATCCTGGTTGCAACCCCTGTCCATAAGTATGCAGCCAGTCTTCCACGGCCACTGCTGGCGAATGAAATACATGGGGGACAAGCCCGGACAGCAGCTTTTTTTTCTTTTCTTTCTTTTTTTTGGTAAAGAATTTCGATGTGACCCTGAGGCAAAAGTTGTGCAATTTATTTTTGTGCATCACATAGTTTGTTTTCATATTTTTTATCATTGTTAAACATTTTTATGTTTTTTTTTTTCTTCTCTTTGCTGAGCCCTTCACTGGTCCTCGCACGGCCGGGCCACCTCGTCAAACAAGATGATCCGGGCGGCCTCTGCAGGAGACACATCTAACCAACTCAGAGGAGCATACAAAAATAAGGAAATTTTTCATTAGACGGCTAGGAGGAGTAAAGGATGAAGTTCGGGCTTCAGACAACACCTCGAGCACGAAAGGCACAACGATCCTAATCCCTAATTCATCAAGACTATACACGGCAGGTTTAGTACAAGGAACGGATACGGACAGCGAAACGGGAAGATGGTGCACAATGGATATGAAATGGAAAGAAGAAGAATTCAGAATTGTCAACATTTATGCACCCAATAATCCAACAGAAAGGTCAGAGATTATAAAAACTGTTGGACAACTCGTATTACCACTCACAGCATGCATCATAGCAGGGGACTAGAACGCGACCCTTGACCCAAATAACGACAGGATCTCTCGGGCAGCAGCCTCCCAGGGCACCCACGAAGCGGCACCAGTGCTTAAACTTATGCTGGACCATAGTCTGATGGACCCATTCCGGACCTAACACCCCAGCAGGAAAGCCTTCTCATTAGTAAAGAAGAACCATGCACAGATCACAAGCTTCTCCTGGATCGACCACTTCCTCACCTCTGAAAGTTTAATGGGTACCATTAAAGAGACTGACATCCTGGCACTGGCATCCTATTCAGGACTGGACCACAAATCAATTGAGCTAATCTTCAGCATTGACCAACATATCACTAAAGGATCTAGCTTCCACAAGCTGAACAACTCCCTGCTCCTAAGCAAAGCCTTCCTAGAAGGAGTTCAAGACTGCTGGAAGAACTCGAAAGGTACGTTCTTAGATGGACAAGACAGATGGAAATGGTTTCAAGACAGCTACCTCTCACTATCACAATTGGTGGCCCGTTTGTCCAGGAAATTGGCGAGGTACAGGAAGGCAAGGAAACAATCATTGGAAAAGGATCGCAGAATCCAATCTGATAAACCAACCCTCCTCGGCCCTCTACTCAGCCACAACCAAAGGTTGAATTCAATAGAAGGGCTCAAAGAGCTATCAGGGTTTCAGGCCACGAGGAAAGACAGGGTATGCTAGAAATAGACAGAGGGTTCTACAAAGAGCTATATGAGACTAAGGCAGCCTCCACTCCACCAGCGTCAGTAAGGGAAGCCAGATCCAAAATGCTGCAGTTAAGACAAGACGATTACAACGGATCAGGCAACTAACTTGGACAAACCAATCACCATAGATGAATTAAAAGTGGCAGTCCATTGTATGAACAGCGATAAATCTCTGGGAATTGACGGATTAACCAAAGAGTTCTTAGAACACGCCTGGCCGTTGATTGGAACTGACCTTCTCCACTTCTACCAGGACAGCTGGGAAAAAGGAGGAATGGAAGAACTGTTAGGCAGCAGTGTGGTGACCCTTCTTTACAAGAAAGGGAACAGGGAGGTAATCAGGAACTACAGGCCAATCTCACTACTTACCCTCCCCTACAAGATTCTGGCTAAAACACTAGCTCTAAGGATACTGGATCTCACAGACAAATGCTTCCACATAGGTATATACTAGACAATGTCCTCACTCTAAATGAAGCAGCAAGGAAAGTCAAGGAAAAAAAATTGAACACAGCAATTTTACTCTTTGACTTTGAAGAGGTCTATGACCAAGTGAATTGGGCCTTCCTGGACGCGAGCATGGAGAAAATGGGAGTGGGTCAGAGTCCTTTACAATGATGCATCAGGATGTGTACAAGTCAATGGGGTGCTATCCGACTGATATCAGATTTCTCGGTCAGTGAGGTAAGACGATCCCGTAGCCCTGCCGATCTTCCTATTCGTAATGGAGGCCACCTCACTGCTAGGAAAAGCCTTAACAATCATCCATCTTCTCGATGATGTGGCACATAGCCTCCATCTGGACCATACCAGATCCAACTATTAAAGAACTAAACAGCAGAGCAAGGGCATACCTGTGGTCAGGTGACCCTAACAAAACAAAGTACATTCCCAAAATAGCTTGGCACTGCGTAACTAGAAGGCCGTCAAAGGGGGGACTAGGGATAATCAATCCTAGACAAGAAACCAAAGCTCTGCAGATCAAATGGGTAGCTAAACTTTTAACCCAACCCAGGTTGGCGTGGCACAAATTAGCCCTGGATAGTACCAGATCCTTAGCCCCTGTTAAGACCCCAAATAACATGCCAGGTCNGCCAGGTCTCTTCTGGGACTTTTAACCCAACCCAGGTTGGCGTGGCACAAATTAGCCCTGGATAGTACCAGATCCTTAGCCCCTGTTAAGACCCCGAATAACATGTCAGGTCTCCTCTGGGTAATGAACAAGTATTGGACGCTGAAAACCGAAAGGAGACGACACCGAGCAACCTTATAGCGAGATGACGCAAAGCCCCCAACCCCATACCGGACAGCACTTATCAGGATTTTGACGGAGATAATGCCTAAGCAGGTCAGTTAAAAGCTCGACTAAAGGGATGTCACCGCCGGGACGAGAATCTGTCACTTCTCATGGAAAGCAGGGGAATGGGGAGTGCTGACACAGGAAATAGTACCCATGAAAGCGTATAAATTCTATCACTGCTGGAGTCTTCATCTCCTTCCCCATAGATCGATCCAAACCCAAATCCCTCGCCATTCACAACACCGGCCCACAAGGAAGTAACTCTTAAGTCCTACACGCTGAGAAAGGTGAGAGTATTGGGGAAACTGGTCGAAAAGTATATTCCACACGGACACAGCAATGCAAGACCTTGAATTCGACCCACAAGAATGGGCTTGGCTCTCACAAGCTAACAGATTCTGTAAGAATCCCAATCGGATAAGACAGTACACAGTTAAGATGGGATACAAAAGGTTTCTAAGAACCAAAGACTCCGAGCCAGTAATCAAAAAACGATGGACCAAATTGCTCAGACAAAGAATGGAACCAATTGCGGAACTCCCCTTGCAAAAGTACAAATCAATTCGCCCAGTAAAAATAAGAAGTCTCCAATGGCTGATCACCTGCAATGCCCTCCCAGCGAATGCCTGGCTACATGTGCGAAGGAAGAACAGCGATTTGAGAAGTTCAGACAAATGTCTGGTATGTGCAGACAACGAACAGGAAGATATAGTACACTGTCTGATCACTTGTAAACTCGCTACTGACTTGTGGCCAAGGGCCTCAGCGCTGTGGGACCACTTATTTCCCACTCCCCTACCCGAACACCCAATCCAACTTCTCCTATGGACTAACACCCCCTCTCTTGCCCTCAAATCGGAACGCGTCTGGTTCGGAATTATCAGGAAGGTAACACTGTGGGTCATATGGAAGGGGAGATGCAACAGGACAATCGACAAGACTACCAATCCGACTGAACAAGTATGGGCGACTACGAAACTGTTCATGGAGACCGATATCCGGTGTCAATGGAAGAAGGTCAGACGCCAAGCTCAGCAAAATCCAAAGAAACAGCAAGAGTTGATCTCCAACTTTAACAAAGTATGGCTTGTCCATGGGAAGATAGCTGAGATCCAGGCTCTACAAATCAGATGGAAAGACTGGCACAATTCGTCGATCCCTCAGAGGAGGACAACTCCCGACCAGGAAGAGCAACAGGAATTCAGGGCAACATAAGTTCCTTTGAGCCCAGGCCAGACAGTGGTTCTTTGGGTTTCTAGCTTTATCATCTACCTGACAGATTCTGCTTGAAGGATCTGAGAGGAAACTCAGAGAAAGGCCAGCTGACAGTCAATCCTCCATCTCAATGGAGTAATCAATGCTGTTCAGGGACCCTTCGGCCAGACGGAAGGGAGTGTGGGTGTGTTCATTGACGTCAACTCGTTTTACGACTTTTCGGGGGAATAGGAACAGGACCGACGCTCCCCAGAATGGATATGGAGCCAGTACCGTTAAAAAAAAAAAAAAAAAAAAAAAAAAAAGTTTCTGGTATCTGCTGAAATTTCCACAAGCCTAGGTACTTACCGAGTGGAAATAGCCAAGAAACCTTTTGTCATGTAGAACCCTGCGGAATTCTTCTGTCGCGACAGCACACATCTCGTCCATTAGGGTTTTCCACTCAGGTTTCGCCGGCTTGGGAGGATTGAGTCCCACCTCTAGGGTTGCAGCAGTGAAACGCTCAAGGGTTCGGAAACACAGATGCTCCTCGCCAAACGACTGCTCAATGATTTCCCCTTGAATCGTCACCCTCAACGACCCGTTCACTGTTCCCGGCGGCTGCGACAGGATGGCAAGATGGGTGGGACCACCACCACGGCCGATTGTTCCTCCTCGGCCATGAAAGAGGGTCAGTTTGACATTGTACTTCTCCGCGATTTTCACAACGTTCGCCTGTGCTTGGAAGAGAGCCCAGGCCGCGGACAACCGCCCTCCATCTTTGCCCGAATCGGAGTAACCAATCATCACCTCCTGCTTGCCGTTGATTTGTTTTCGATACCAGTCGATCGCAAACAGTCTCTCCAAGTTATCGCCCGCATTCATCAAATCTTGGAGGCGTTCGTACAATGGAACAACGCGCAACGGCTTCTTGACGCCACACTCACGCTGAAGCAGGTGAACGCCGAGAACATCAGACGGGACGGTTGACATCGAGATAACGTACGCACCAAACGAGTCCGATGGCAGTTCGCCAACCACACGACAAGTATCCAGAACCTCTCTGACGTCTGCATTCCCCACAGGGTAAGGTCCGATAAGCGGCCGCTTGCTTTGCAGCTCCTTCACAAGGAACTCCAGTCGCTGCTCTTCCGACCACTGCTTGTACGATCCGATCTCAAGATGCTGGGTTATCGCATCAAGGGCCTCCACGTGCCGCTCCGCCTCCTGCCTGATGTCCAGCCTTGCCATACCAAGACCGAAACAGGTGACTTGCCGCATGTAGTCCAGCAAAGTGCCATCTGCAATGATCTTATCTCCAGTTTCGCAAAGCGAGCGGTAGCAGAGCTCAAGAGGTTCCATGAGCTGCCATCAGAGCACAACAAGCCACAACAGAGAGCCAAGAATTGGTACGCAGAAAAGCAACCAGAAGATTGAAAGACTACCTCCCTCTAACCCTGCCTGCAGGAACCACTGACCTCTGATCCAGCCTGCAGGTACCACCTACTGACCTCTGATCCAGCCTGCAGAAACAGACCACTGACAGTAGTTGGTACAAACTACTGACCTCTGATCCAGCATGCAGGTACAAACTACTGACCTCTGATCGATCGTGCAGGTACAAACCCCTGACCTCTACCCCACCCAGCCTGCAGGTACAAACCACTGCCCTCTGGTCCAGCCTGCAGGTCAAACCACTGCCCTGTGGTCCAGCCTGCGGGTACAACCTAGTGACGTCTGGTCCAGCCTGCGCATACAAACCACTGATCTCTGATCCAGCTTGCAGGCAAGAACTACTTACCTGTTCAGCTGAGGTGAATGTCTCCGATTCTTGGATAGGTGATATCCCCCCCTGAAGCAGGTGCATCAGCCTTTCTCGGGTGTTGAAAAGTCTGTCGCGCACCATACCAAGAATAATTCGATAAGGCTCCGTAGGCGGAATAACGTTCCAAAACTCTGTGAAATCAGAACGAAAAAAGTGCATGCAGAAAACACAATCAAGCACTGGTCATCTGATTCAACTGATTGTAAATACAAACAAATACGTTTATGTCACTATTTGTGTTGAACAAAAAGGCAGAAAAAAACACGAAATTGCAGAGAAGAAGAGGACCAGGGAGGAAGGCTTCAACGATAAAGGTTTAACTCTTGCTGATTCCAGAGAAACCCTTCAGGAGTTGCGACCAAAGAAATGGAAAAACCACAATGAATCAGAAAAAAAAAAAAGGATTCAGCACAAATCATTCAGAATCTGAGAGTGCAGAAAAAACAGTCAGGGATGAACTCAAACAGGAAATTGCGGTAGTCGAGGCTCAGTCGGACAAGCTCAAGAAACTGAATACCATATATGAGCCTGAGGTCACCTCCCTCAAGCGCATAGCAGAAGGCAAGGCCCCCCATGTGCTGGAATCAGCCAAATCAGCAAGGTTAACCCTGATGGCAACCCGCCCAAGTTTGGCTGCCCGCTATGTGGAGAAGGCAAAAGAATGGCAGGTTGCCACAGATGTGTCCTTTGCGATTCCCAGGATCGACGAAGGGCAGAACGTGGAAACCATCCTGCAGGAAAAAATCACAATGGCATTCCCCCTAGGTGTTTTTGAAATGGGCACCCCGGCAACTCAACAGGATGACGGCGCTCAGCCAGCACTGCAAGATGACCAGAATGATCAGACAGAGCTCACTGACGTCCAAAAGGACCAGGGCAAGTCTGACCCAGGATCTTTCACCCCCCTCGTTGCAAAAATCCCGGAGGGATCCAAGCCGAAAGGAGATGGCGGCCTTGGGACACGGTGACGGCCATTCCCTACAGCGTGCTGTCAGGAAATGGCATTCCCGCGGAACTGCAGGCCGCCTCACTGGCTGTTCTGATTACCGGCAATTTTTTTAGTGGGGATGCTGATTTAGACTCCAGGGCCTATGTAATAGACCTGGAGAGATACTACAGAGATGAGTACACTGAAGAGGAGGTGGACGACTGGACTGAGACAGACCCCAAAGCCAAGATGGAGAATTCCCCTGCCAAAGAAATTAGTGGCAAGATTGGGGAGTATAGGCTGGACGAGTCCCTGTCTGAGACTCAGTCTGACCCACCCGGGGAATCAATGGATTCTACGGAGCTTGGGGTCCTAGACGCCACCTAGACCCGGAGATATTAGCCCCTTCATGGTCACCATACAAACCCAACCATGGAAATGCTTACAAGAGAGGCCAATACAAAGGGGCGGAAGGTTGATTGGGAAACACAAGGCCTAATCTTTCCTAGCTGGAGCATCAATGGTCTTGGGAATATTACAAATGAAGAAGATAAAATTGACATAATTAAAGGACTGAAAGACCAATAAGAAAAAACAGCTGACATTATTTTGTTGCAAGAAACTCACCTCACTAACTCAGAAGACCATAAAAAAATCAGAAGATACTTCACAAGGAAATTAGGCGGCGTTACGGACGAGGCGTGCGCCTCAGATAGCAAATCTAGCACGAAAGGTACTGCTATTCTCATTCCAAAATCTTCCCGACTCTACTCCGACGGCTCAGTACAAGGGGGAGAAAGAGACAATGAGTCGGGCAGATGGTGCCTCATGGACTTGAAATGGAAATAGGAAGAATTCAGAATCATCATGGAAATAGGAAGAATTCAGAATCATCAACGTCTACGCAAATCCATCAGAAAGAGTTGAGTTCACACTAACTGTGGGACAATCAGTAACACCACTCTCGGCCTGTATCATAGGAGGGGACTGGAACGCTACCCCGGACCCAAACAATGACCGTATCTCCCGGGCAACCTCCACTCAAGCTTCACAGGAAGCGGCGCCTATCCACAAACTTATGATGGACCGCAACTTAGTAGATCCGTTCCGTACCCTGTACCCGGGCAGAAAAACCTTCTCCCTGGTCAAGAAGAACCATGCATATCACACAGCCTTCTCCCAGATTGACTACTTCCTGGTCTCCAAATCCTTAAGGAACTGTTAAGGATGCAGATATCCTGGCTCTTGCATCGTACCCTGGACTGGACCACAAGCCACTAAAATTGATATTCAGTTTTGATCAATACATAACCAGAGAATTCAGTTTTCACAAGCTTAATAACTCCCTCCTCCTAAGCCAGACTTTCAAAGAAAGTGTTCATGAGTGCTGGCAACACTCAAAAGGTGTTTTTTCTAGAAGGCCAAGACACAACACACGGCCTTCTCTCGGATTCAGTTTTGATCAATACATATCCAGGAGCCAGTTTCACAAGCTTAATAACTCCCTCCTCCTAAGCCATACTTTCAAAGAAAGTGTTCATGAGTGATGGCAACACTCAAAAGGTGTTTTTCTAGAAGGCCAAGACAGATGGGAATGGTTCCAAAACAGCTACCTCTCTCTATCCTAATTGGTGGCCCGTATCTCTAGGAAACTAGCAAATAAACGGAAGCAAAGAAAACAAATTCTTGAAACAGCACTCAAAATTGTCGAGTTCAACCTGATAAATAACCCGTCCTCGCCAATTTACTCCTCAGCCTTCGAAAAAACTCAGGAAGAGCTTGCTCTATGGAGACAATGGAACTGAAGGAGTTCAACTCAGGGCAAGGATGAATGAATATGAACTGAGTGAATCAATGACAAAATTCTTCTTTGCAAGGATAAAGGTCAACAATAGATCAAATTTTATAGAAGGCCTCAAAGAGATGGCTGGCGACCAGCCAACAAGAATGGACAGCGAAGGGATGCTGAAAATAGCAAAGGAATTCTACCAAAAACTGTACCAGACCAAAACCTCCTCTCCCACTTTAACTCCCGTAAGAGACGCAAGATCGAAAATGCTCCAATTCCTAAACAGAACGATATCCGAGGATCAGATAAATGTACTCGACAGACCAATCACCTCAGTGGAACTGCAAGCTGCGGTGTAGAGCATGAACAATGACAAGGGCATTGACGGCCTGACTAAGTTGTTTTGGGAGAAGTTTTGGCCTATGATGGGAAGCGATCTTTTGTGATTCTACCAAGACAGTTGGGAAAAAGGAGGATTGGGTGAGCTGCTGAGTAGCAGTGTTGTGACGTTATCATACAAGAAGGGGGATCGGAAAGACAGCCGGAATTATAGACCCATCTCCCTGCTTACCCTCCCCTACAAGATCTTGGCTAAAGCCTTGGCCAACCGGATCGTAAACCTCACTGACAAATGCGTTCACATAGACCAGGCAGGCTTTATCCCAGGAAGATCCTAGATAATGTTCTAACCTTAAGTGAGCAGCTAGGAAAGTCCAAGAAAAAAGACTAAATACAACAATCTTGTTCTTCGATTTCGAGAAAAAGCCTACTATCAAGTAAATTTGGTGTTTCTCAACACGAGCATGGAAAAAATGGGTGTTGGACCCAACTTCAGAAAATGGGTCAGAGTCCTCTATAACGACGCATCAGGATGTGTCCAGGTCAATGGTCTTTTGCTTCCCTACCCAATCTCAAGATCTTTGCAACACGGGGACCCCCTTGCTCCGCCAATCTTTCTATTTGTAATGGAAGCTATCGCATCTTTCTTACGCAAAGACCCCACAATACAAAGATTGCCGAGAAATTAATGTTTGTAGTACTTTGTACCCATCACCACATCCAATTCCCAACGGTCATAATGTTTGCTGATGACCTCACGGTCCTTATCAGAGCTCCGGATTCCTCAATGAAAGCACTTGTCAGAGCAATGGAAGTTTTCAGGCTGGCCTCTGAAATGAAAATCAATTGGAAAAAAACAGTAGGCTGGTGGCTTGCAGAGGAAGAAACACGTAGGATGGAAGGTCCTGAAGCCTACATGACGTGGGAAAAAACGGAAGACACAGATACCCGAGAATTCTGGTAACTAAGGATGGCCCCGCCCCACAGATGGCACAAAACCCGCTAACTAAGCAAATTAACCAAATTGGACGAAATGCGTTTAGATCATTGCTAGGAAGGGCCCTAACCATCAAGACATCTATCTTCTTCATGACATGGTATATTGCCTCCATTTGGACTATACCTGATCACACGACCAAGGAACTGAACCGCAGAGCCAGGGCATACCTTTGGTTAGGCGATCCTAACAAAAATAAATACATACCGAAGATAGCCTGGCATTACATAACGACAAGGCCATCTAAAGGGGGTCTAGGAATCATCGACCTGAAGCAGGAAACTAAAGCTCTTCAGATCAAGTGGATCATTAAGCTGCTAACCCAACCCAGACTGGCATGGCATAAATTAGCACTAGACAGCATCAGAGCAATAGCTCCTATCGACAGTCCAACCAACATGTCAGGCCTCATCTGGGTAATGAACAAGGAGTGGACTCCGAAGACTGGCCGCAGGAGGGAAATTATGCCCAAAAAGAACAAGAAGCCCAAATCTAAGGATGAAGTGTTGCGCCAACCCCTGTTCGGAAACCCATGTGTGAGAGACGCAGGCACTCACTCACTCTCACTTTCAAGCGGCCAGCGATGGCTCTCATGGATCACGCAAAGAGTATGGAGGGTCAGTCACATCTGGGATCAAGACACAAAGGACTGGATTGACGAGGAAACAATCAAATCACTCCTGAAGGGTTGCCACCGCGGAGATGAAAACCTTTCAACAGTCATTAATAGTATCCAGGATGGATGGAAGGACTTACTCAAAGATGAATTCTCTTGGAAGCCAGGAGAATGGGGAGTTCTCACACAGGAGACGGTACCTGCAAGGGCATATCAATTCTCCCACAGGGCCCCGGGATCAGACCTCCCGGGGGTATTCACCTCGTTCCCGATAGACCTAACCAATCCCAAATCCCCCTCCATCTACAACACAGACCCACAACAGTCAGTCATGCGCTCTTTTAAGCTTCAAATAAGAGTGTTTGGCAGTTGGCCAAAGGTAATCTTCCAAAGTGAAACAGCAATCCAAGAATTAAAGTTCGACTCAGACGAGTGGGCATGGTCCTCCAGCAACAACAGACTCTCCAAAAAGCCCATTCATGTCACACAATACACAGTCAAAATGGGCTACAGAATGATGCTAAAGACGAAAGACCCACATCCAGTGATTAAAGTTAGGTGGAACAGAGTACTGGGTCAGGAAGCTGAACAAATATCCAAAATGCCTTGGCATAAATATAAATCAATACGCCCGGTCAAAATAAGAAGCCTGCAGTGGCTCATTGCTTACACTGCACTACCTGTGAACAGTTGGCTACAAATCAGAAATGGAATAAATGACCCGAACAGTTCAGATATCTGCGTAGTATGCTCTGACAATGAACAGGAAAACATCACACACTGCCTGATCACATGCAAGGGAGCACCTGAATACTGGGCAAGAGCATCTGCCCTATGGAACCACCTGTTCTCTTCTCTTTTCCCAAACACCCAATCCAACTACTCCTACGGACCAGCATTCCTAATAACTTTAACAAGTCGGAGAGCATTTGGTTTGGCAATGATTCGAAAGGTGACACTCTGGGTCATATGGAAGGAAAGATGCAGCAGAACTTTGGACAACTCCAGCAATCCATGCGAAAAAGTTATGGGCGACGACCAAATCATTAATGGAGACTGAAGTCTTCTCCCAATGGAAGAAAGTCAGGATTCAAGCTCCGGAAAATCCGGAGAAGCAGCAAGATATTCTGGCGAAATTCACGAAAGTATGGCTGGTCAATGGAAAGGTGGCGTTTATTCAAGGACTTCACCTCTCAGGTGGAAAGACTGGCACAACTCCTGTCCACTTCAGAGAGCACAGGCCAGTCAAATCCTACAGGCTGATCCTTATCATTTATCAGGGGAAGGGAGTTAAGCTGACAGCCGTTCCTCCATGTTACTGGTGTAATCATGTTGTCCAGGGCTCCCTCGTCCAGATGGAAGGAAGTGCAAGTGTGTTCCGTAAAGGAACTGACGAATCTCTTCAGAACTAAAGCTGAGGGTTTAGGGTTTAGGGTTTAGACAATCAAGGCAAACAGAGATCCGAATGGTAGGGATCTCACGAGGCACATGGGCGGGGATCGGAGTTTAGACAGAATCGGCAGCTTTTGTAGCTTGCAGGCCCTTTCTTGCCATTTATGTTTTATCTGACAGGCCATTATAGTGGACCTGAGAGGAAAGGGAGAAGCAGGGCAAGCTGAGAGTCAATCCTCCACGACGCTGGAGTAATGGTGGTCAGGGTTCCTTCAGCCAGATGGAAGGAAGCGTATGCGTGTTCATGATGTAATATTTCATTCTGACTTAACGTGGAATAGGAACCGGACTGATGCTTCCCAGAATAGAAGGAGCCAGGACCATAAGGCCCTGTTTAAAAAAAAAAAAAAAAAAAGGAACCAGACTGATGCTTCCCAGAATGGAAATGGAGCCAGGGCCATTAGGACCTGTTTTATGGGGGGGAAAAAAARAAAAAAAAAAAAGGAAAGAAAAGAAAGAAAAAAACACGAAATGGCAACGAAGACGCGGCCAGAGTTTGTAAAGGCAAAAATATTAAAATGAATTGGCAGTAACATTAGGGCCAGAGTTCAAACAGAGCACTTTCATCACCTCCGTTGTCAGGGCTTTTTTTTTTTTTCCGTGTCACGTGTTTCTTTTTTTTTTTTTTGCCGTGTCACATTGTCTAGTGTTTTTTTTTTAATTATATCCCATAACCGTTATTCACAAGTCATTTCCGACCACGATTTACTTCCAAGGCTTAAAGCTAACCTACCTCCTAGGCATCTGTCAGCATTGCACAAGTGAGAGGTACTCTACCTCACCATTTGTCACTGTTGTAGACACAACTGGGCTGACCTAAGGTCACCTACCCACGGTCCCGAATGTTGTGCATGCAGCTGACACCAGGAATGGATCTGGGGTTGGGCATCAAATAGGACTGGGATTCGGGACCAGTACTCGGGACTGGGACATATGACCAGGATTTGGGACTAGGACTCAGGACTGGAATTCGGGACTGGGACTCCGGACTGGGATTTAGGACTGGGACTGGGACTGGGACTGGGGACTGGTATTCGGGACTGGGACTAAGGGTGCAGTAATGAAATCATTTCACTCTCGGCCTACCGTCTTCACCTGAATAGAACGCCCGGTCATTATAGCTGTATTTGGCACAAGTTTCAGCCCAGATACGGCGATAACTACCTGGTGTTATATTCGGGTGAAGGGGGCTGTTTCAAGGTCCTCCTAGAAAAGCTACAAGTTACTCAGCCAGTCTAGCGCTCCTGCGTGCCAGCTCATAGTGCGACACGTTCCGGCGAGCAGTCTCAGCAAGCTCGTCTCGTGGGAGCCATGAGCACTGGCACTGGGCACTGACACCTACACGTCTATATATTATATAGTCTGTGGCCTCCCCCTTCTTCCTGTACAGAGTGGTGGTGCTTCATCAACGATACTGTCAACGCTGTAGCTACCACCTGTGCTCAACAGCGGGATCATTGATCCATGTCCACGAGACAGCAACTCGAAAGCCTTAAACACAGGGTAGGGTCCCAGATGTCAGCCTCATTAAAAAAAAGAAAAAAGGGTCTCAGATGTCCTACCCTACCCTGTGGAACATTGACATCGTCATTAATGGCTCCATCGCCGTATCAGTTCAACAACAACAACCAAGAAAAAGTGTTAAAAATAATCGTTAAAAAAGGTGTTAAAAAAAGGGGGAAGGGGTATGGGATCTGCCACCGAATCTCACCTTGGTAGTGTTTGACAGATCCTCTTCGGGTTACATCTTGGTTAGTACTCTGAAGTTTCTCCCGCAACTCGCTGCTACATCTCCACATGGACAACTGCAGCAGCACAAAGACATTTGAAGTTTGCCAAACCATCATTAACTAACCATCATTAATTAACCATCATCAATCAACCCTGGACTTGACACACAGACAAAAAAGTTAAAGGCGTTCCAGAATTTTCTCGGTAGTAGAAGGAACTCGGTTGCACTTAGGATCAGCTATATTAAGGGTCTTCGTTTTTGACATGATCAGCATGATTCTCCTGTTAACAAATAAAATCATATGTAAAACACCGGCCGCATTGCCGGAGATTTCCCAATGGCCTGTGGAGTAGTGGTGGCGGGTCGCGTGCCGTTGGAACGGAGTGTGCATGGATTTTTGCCGTGTCCATGTGGTGTTTGTGTGTGGTGTGTGTGGTGTGTGTGGTGCGTGTGGTGCGTGTGGTGTGCGTGGTGTGGGTGGTGTGTGTGGGGTGTGTGGTGTGTGTGCATTGGACACACTACAGCCCTGCAGGGGTGGGGTGGGGTGGATATAATGAATGGTACAATTCCACTTTTGAACACAACGTGTCGGAGCTGTAGTGCTTACGAGACTTGGTTCCTGTGGCCAAGGGTGCCGGTTCGAGACCGTGCGTGCGCGGTGGGGCCTGAAGCCCTAAAGCACGAATCAGACAGTGAAGGGGAATCAGACAGTGAAGGGGCCCGTAGAACCTGCGGGAAGATGGCCCGTGCGTGTGACCGGGTTGAGTAGTGGTGGTGGGTTGCATGCCGTTGGAACTGAGTGTGCGTGGGTTGCAGTGCCCGTGTGGTGCTGCGTGTGGTGTGTGTGCGTTGGACACACTACAGCTCTTTCAGGGGTGGGGTGGATATCATGAGCAGTTCTTTTGAACACTGGGCTGGGGTTGTAGTGGTTAAGAGACTTGCTGTCGCATGCCTACAGTCTTCCCCCGAATACAACATACGGTCATTATAGCTGAATTTAGACTGAAAGATACCCCAAATTCAGCTATAATGACTGTACGTTGCATTCGGGGGAAGACGGTAATCGGCATCGATCAGAACGAAGAACCGACCTCTCAGAGACAATACAAAAAATAGCACAGCGGAAGATCGAAATACCAAGATCTGACTCAGCAGGGGCAATGACAGGACCTGACAGCACTCATCATCACTCCGTGCGAGTGGGCTCAGCGGAGCAAGCATAGGTGGTGTGCTGAGTCCAAATACAAACACGGACGAAGGTGGGGAAGAAGAGAGGAAGGGAGGAGGAGATAGGGTGGATCAGCCACCATAGACCCGACGAACCCAGTCTACGACGCATCCACAATGTCGCTGCTCATACAATGTCACTGAATCAGGTGACGCCTGAAAGTCACCAAGTCTCAATGTCAACTCTCTGACTCTCTCTCTCTCTCTCTCTCTCTCTCTCTCTCTCTCTCTCTCTCTCTCTCTCTCTCTCTCTCTCTGACGTATCCAGGTACTGACCTGCAGAAGGTGGCGCCTTGATGCAGGTATGAACGTGCTGAAGACGAAGCTGGAGCGATGGCATCACAGATAAGTCGTCAGGTAAGTCCCCCCTGGCCTCCGCCAGCCTCAACTCCCTGGGTCCCTGCTAGAGCGTTCTGCAGCCCAAGCTCTACTACTCCTAGCACCGCGCCCAGCGCTGGAAGGCTATGCTCTACTCCAAAGATACGGCACCCAGCTTGTCGACAACTGATGATACGGAGGCACTGCCTCAGTACTAACTTAGGATACTGCCTGCCGGACTGGAGGAGGGCCAGCTATATATAGTGCTGGTCTGTCCAAAGTCCAGCCTCGAACTACTGCCGTGTAGCTGGGCCAGGATACTGCACTGGCACCAAAACGAAAAGGAAATGAAACTCCGTCCCAACAGGAGACTGGCGCCTATACTGGCGCCAAAACAAAAATAACGAAAATGAATCGTGGTCAGTCCTGGTATGGTCCTAAAACGGACCCAAAGAAAAAAAAAAAAAAAAAAAAAAACGGACCCCTAACAACGTAGGCCTTAACCCAGACCCTGGACTGAAATAGTACTCGTCCTAAACGGGACCCCCTATTGAGCCTGCTAAACCCCTAACCCTCCCAGCGGTCATAAATGGGGCTCATGGACCCGTGGGATGCCACACTTGCTTCCTGTGGCTGAGGGTGCCGGTTCGAGGCTGTGGGTACGCGGCAGGGCCTGAAATCCTAAAGCACGGATCAGTAATCTATTGTTAGCATCCTCTTTTTTTCTGTTTTTTTTTTTATTATTATTTTTAAATGGCGAGAGGAGCAGCATGGGCTGGGAACCCAGCACAGCGGCACTCGCGTTGACCAATCGTCAATCGTTCACATCGGGCACTCGCATCAGTTTCAGACAAAAAGGGCAGTTTGGGGAAGAAAGAAAAAAAAGCAACTGTTAGCAATACGCCAACCGTGTTCCTCCGAACACAAGGACCGTCATCATAACCATATTTGTCCTGAATTATTGCTTGTGTATGGTGCAGTGTGTTAGGAGAGGAGGCAGACTGCTTTTTCCACTTAACGCCCGACCGAGTAGCCAAGACAGGCTTTCTGCCCTGGATGCCTTCCAAGGCAATCCATCTGCAGCACGATGGGTTTTCATCCCTTTCTACAAATTCCCCTTTTATTCTTTTTTTTTTTTTTTTTTTTTTTTTTTTTTTTTTGCAATCTTCACATGTTTACTTGTGATATCTTTCTTTAAAAAAAAAAGTGATATCTGATCATATCTCTAAAGGATTAACTTGCAACGAATCGTCAAAGACATCTTCAAAACAAGAAAACAGGGGAAAACAACTACACATCAACAAAATCCTGCTGATGCTTTCCCCCCCAAAGCCTGCCACAGCTGTGGACAGAGTTTTTTTTTTCTTTTCTTTTTTTGGCCCGATGGACCACGGATCAGATATTAAACTGATCAGAACAGATACTACACTTGATCTTAGCCAAAAGGCCGAGAAAGGTATTGTACAGAGATTTCAACTTTTCAAACATTATGAGAAGTCGAGCAACTCGGAAATCCGGTGATCATTTGGCGATACGGGATGACTTGCACAGGAAAGCAAGCAAGAAAGAAAGAATGTTTAGGCCAACAAGTACGACGCGAAGGTTGACAAGGCTGCGAGCATTGAGGAGGAGGAGGAGGAGGAAAGCCATGTAAGTTGCGCGATGGAAGGAGATAATGACAAGAAGAAGAACCAAGACATTGTTACTATCGTCTCCCAAAAAAAAAAAAAAGGAGGAGGAAAGCCATGTAAGTTGCGCGATGGAAGGAGATAATGACAAGAAGAAGAACCAAGACATTGTTACTATCGTCTCCCAAAAAAAAAAAAAAAAAAA